TCGGCGACCGCCAGGTGCAGCACGAAGGTGTCCACCAGCCGCCGCGGGCCGCGCCGCCCCGCCAGCAGCCACACCACGAAGGCGTTGCCCAGCAGGCCCACGGCGAAGGCCACCAGATAGAGCGCTGGGATGTAGGTGTGGGCGTAGGGCAGGTCCCAGGCCTGGCACAGCTCCAGCTCTTCCAGGGGGCCCCACCCCGACCCCGACCCGGAGGAGTCCCAGTACGCCACCTCCGGGCTGGGGCTCCAGGCCTCGGTGGGGTTCATGGTGCGGCCACGAGGCCAGTGCAGGTCGCAACCCTGGGCGCAGAGGCAGACGCTCTGAGGGGGGGTTTGCGCTTCACGGCCGGTGCCCGGCACCTCCCTTCCTGCCACCCCAGGCCTGGCGAACCAGAAGGCAGGAAAGTGGGGGGAGGTCTGTGTGTGGTGGGAGGGGCGGGCTCCTGTGCAGCTATGAGGCCTCTATTTGGGGTAGGCTCCAGGGGAAGGTCAGCCACAGGCACGGGGGGCTGCACAACTGCGGCCCGCGAGGAACAGCCCCGTGGACTGGAGACGTGCCCACCTTCCTTCCCCGGGCACTGGTTTCTGTGCGTGACGTGGCCGTCCTTGCCACACCGTATCAGGGTCTGAGGCCGGGTGGCGAGAGTGGTGGGGGGTCGACCGGCCTGAGCTGCTGCCAGTGCCCGCTTGACGCATCTCCGATCCGTGCCTACTGCTGTTTCTGGTTTTAGAGGTGGGGAGACAGACCCCGGGAGGAGGATTTCCTAAAGGAGATGGTGCCTCTGCCCGTCCTGGAGCAAAGCCGAGTCCCGCCATCTGGTCGAGAGAGAGGCCCCCGTGGGTGGGGGAGCAGCCCTGGGGGTCTAGCTCTGACCCCAAGTTGGCTGCCAGAGCGCTCAAGCGGTCGTTGCCTCCCGAGAGGCCCAGCTGAGTTAAGGCCGGGAGCAGCTGTCTGTCCAAATCAGGTCTTCCTGGAGCCACATGGACGGTTTTCAACCAGAGACAGAGGGGCGCAGTCAGATTATCTTGCTGGAAAGAACAGCCTGGGATCCAAACCCTGTCTCCGCACATCCCGCCAAAACCTGTAGCTCAGTAGGCGGGGCTCCATGGCCTGCCTGAGCCCCCACCCTTGCTGTCCTGCACATGGGTCAGGGCTCAGGAGGTTGTCCCTAGGGACACAGCGGAAGGATTCACGAAGAAGAGGGGCGGCCTGACCTTGAAGCAGGTGGTGGGCCCGGGGAGACAGCAGATGGGGAAAGAAAGCCGGCTCTTTCCTGACAGCGGAGTGGGGCTGGGAGCACAGCCGCACATCCGGTTACATCCAGATTCTTCTCCGCAGACACCATCCCTCCTGTGAGGTGCTCTTTCGGAACTGATGTTAGCGGTGTGTCCCTCCCAAGTCCACCCCACTGTCATCAGAAATGAGTGCCTGCCAGGTTGGGCAACCCTGATGTTGAAAACTTGTGGTGGGTTGTCCATTTTATTTTATTCATTTCCATTAACCGTGAACTCCTCCATGGAGAAGGAACTATTTCAGAAATTGCAGAGAGCTATATATATTTTTAAAATTATTGCCAGAGGGTGCATACACTCACCAAAGAGGAGGTGGGGAGAGAGAACAGCCCTCCATGGAGCACAGTTGTGCTGTGATCTTTTCCCCTCCATTTCTTCATCCTGTCAAGCTTTTGGCTGTGCACACCCCTGTGCCCATTGTGTTTTTTAAGCTACCAGGGCTGGGATTCAAACCATGGTCAGTCACATGGGATCCAGTTCCCAGGGCATAGAGCTTAACTGCTGTGCACAGGGCCAGCCCAGGAGATGCCGTCTCAGCCCGCGGGGCTCAGGCACAGGCGGGGAGCTAGATCGGGTGCCGCACGTGCAATGCCAGCAGGCCAGAGGTCAGACTGCAGTAGCATGAAAGGAACGTCCCCTTGAGCGCAGAGGTGGGGGACGGCCCCTGACGGGGGAGTGGATCTGAAAAGCCTCCTAGGAGATGACTCTTGAGATCAAGAAGGAGCTGAAGGTCAAAGCAGCAGAAAGAGGAGAGGTCGGACTAGATGGAGGCATAGGAGGAGCAAGTGTGCCAGAGACAATAGAAGGGTGAACTTCCCATGGGCGAGCTGCAGTCTGCCCGTGTGAGAGCGTGGCAGGAGGCTGGCAGAAGAAACGGGAAAGGTCGTTGGTGCCAACTCAGTAAGGGATTTGGGGGCCCCCAGGTGGCAGGATGGCTAAGGCGGCCGGATCCCATTGGCCAACTGCGTGGTTTCAGTTCAAAAGCATACCAGGCATGTGTGCATGCATGCCCAAAATCCTGAGAGGAGAATGGGGAAGGGATTGTGGTGTGGTCTTCCCCCAGGGTTGCTTTGTCACTTTCTATCTCTCTGACTCTCTCTGGCGAGTGCACACCCCTATAATAAATTTAAAAAAAAATTTTAAGGAAGGGATTGATTCCATTCTGTAGAGGGGGAAGCCACTGGAGATGAGTCTGTGTTTTGAAAAGATGACTGTCTTGGAGAGGATTGGTGAGAGGGAAGGCTCCAGCGGGGAGATCCCACCCTGGGCTGTACATTTGTGGCTGCAATCGATTCTTGGCAGTGGACAGGATCTATTCAGGAGATAATCATACCATCCTGGGTCTTGGCAGAGAGGCGTCAGACTCAGGCCTGGCTTTTCCCTGCGAGGAATGCCACCCCCTTAACTGAGGTGGAGAGCGCTGAGGAGCAGGTGCGGGCGTGTGTTAGTAACCTGGGCTGTCAACCAGGACTGTTCTGAGCAAACTAGGACATAAGGTCACCCTAGTCCGAGGGCCCTCTGGTATATGGATATGCCCAACAGGGAACTATTGATAGAAAATGGTCCCAGAGCTCCCGGAAAGTCAGTCAAGGCTGACTTGTGTCAAGGCTGTTCACTAAGAATTTTTCTTGGGGCCAGCAGGTGGCATAGCGGTTATGTCACTGGATTCCCCTACGGCCCACTGTGTTTGGAGTCTGGGACCCAGTACCCGTGCCTTGAAACTCACGCCTGGTGAGTGTGCATGGGAGCCCAGGATCCTGAAAAGTGAATGGAGGAGAAGGGATTACAGGGTGTGGCCATCACCCCTGGGGTATGAATTCTCACTTTCCCTCTCACTGTCTCACAAGAATTTGTTTTCCTCCCAAGTCAATTACAAGATGGAGACAGGCAGGCAAGAGGGCAAGAGCAGAGGCCAGGGAACGAGTGGTTCCTGGGCTGGGCCCTCCCGGGGCATTGCAGCTTCCAGCTCGGGTTTTCCCCCAAGGTCCCGCTAAGGGTGGAAACGGAGGGGCTGCTGAGACAGAGCAGTTTTCCTAATATCTGATCACAGGGCTGCCGGGGAGGGGCGCCCCAGCCCCCCACCATCTCTGTCTGGGGCTCCGAGTCTGAGTGATCCTGAAAGCTAGAGATGAACAGCAAAGACAGCTCCAGGTGAAACAGCAGCACAGGCGAGTGGACGGAGAGGGTAGGTAGCACAGGCAGAGGCCGAGGGGAAGTAAAAGTAGGTTGTTTATTTAAAAAGCACAGAGATTCTTGCTTCCTGGGGCCGTGGTCTCACACCCAAGGGAAGTCTGTGGCCCAGAGCACATGGTGAATTTCCTCAGCGAGGGCCTGGGCGCGGTGGCCTTCGTGAACCAGGGCCAGGGCCACTCCCTGTGCCTGGCCTCCCCGGGCACCCAGCTTGGTTTCAGGGACCAAGGTCAACTCCAGGGCACTGCTCTCTCACCCTTCAAGAAGACTCCCCATGGCATCTCTAAGAGTCAGCTCTCAACTCTGGAAATGCGCAACCCTGTCTCGGGCTGGGAACCGCCCACTCCCTCTTCGAGAACAAACTCCAGCAGAAGTGGCCCTTCTCCTCCTCCATCGGGAGCCTTCCCCAGCAGGCCTTCCTCTCACTGGGAAGCCCGCGCCCCAGCTGGACTCTCATGTGGTTAGCCTGGCTTCACCTGCAGGTTATAGCTGCCTGGTGGGGGCTTCTCTCTACCCATCACAGTGACTGGCAAGGCCTGGGATCAGAGAGGATGAGTAATTATCTTGCTTTCAACCAAACTGCTTTCGTGAGTAGGTTTTTGCCTTTAAAGTCTGTATTTAAGCCTTTACAACATTTTCCCTCTAATTTTTATTCTTCTGTATAAATAATCCTTCCCCCCCCTTTTTTTTTTGGAGAGGTTTTTGCTATAGGGCACATGCACCCATCAGAAAGAGAGAAATAGAGAGACAGTGAGAAATCACCCCCCAGGGGGCATGGCCACGCCGCAATCCCTTCTCCTCCATTCTCTTCTCGGGATCTTGGGCACGCATGCACATGCGCCCGGCGTGAGTTTAAGCCACCAGGGTCCGGGACTTTAACTGCAGTCAACTACATGGAAGTCCAGCAACATAGCCATTATGCCAACTGCTGGTCCCCTGTATAAATAATCTTATGTTAACTCTTAGAAAAAAGTACTGAGAATTGTAGTGGCCTTGTAAAAGCCGTGTAATCACATTACAGAGTATGGAGGAATATATAGAAGAACAAAACCTGGTTCTCCAACCCAACCATACTTAGTGTTTTGGTGACTCCTTCCAGCCAGTTAAGGACATATTCAAAGCTGAAGAATTCACTTGTGGGGCTGGTAGGTGGCGTGGTGGTTAAGGCGGTTGGATTCCCATATGGCTGACTATGGTTTGAGTCTCGAACCTGGCAGCTTGCTTTCTCACTTTCCTTCTCTCTGGTCAACTTCAAAAAAAAAAAAAAAAAAAAGACAATGAATTAAATTAAATAATTATCTTAAAGAAAAGAGAGACTTTTATATTTTTCCACATTCTAGTTCGGATATTGTCCACATATGCACTTTCACACGATTGCCAGGCTCGGTTGTGATTAGAATGGACAGGCTTAGCCTGTCTTTCTCAGCTGGTGCCACAGAAACCCAGTTTTCTATGGTGCTTGTTTCTAAACCTTTAATTCTGGATGCTTAGGTTGCTTCCAGCATTGTTAGCTGTTTCAGAAGTCTGTAGTAGGTGACTGCACTCTCTTTTCTTCTTTCATACCGCGTTCATGCACAAATGCCTTGCGTACGTGGTCCAAAGCTGTGAGAACTATTCTCACTTGATACAAATGCTTACGGTGATGAGTAACTTCAAAGTGTCACCAACATTGTCTGAAGGTATTCTCTTAACGACCGAGTCTTGTTAAGAGATTCATCAGTAATATATCTCTTCCCATCTTATTAGGTAATGAGGTAAATGGTCTTTCATTTTAATTTGCCTTTATTTCCTTTAAAATAAGCTGGAAAAATCTTCCAAGTTACC